CGAGTCATTCGCGTCATATCCCCCCTTTTTTCACTCTTTCTCTCTCTGTCTCTCCCCCTCCCCATCATCTAATAAGAATTCTTGAGCTCTATTCCTATAAATAATGGAATGACGTTTAACATCTTTTTCTATTTAATATATATACAAACATCCTATGTTAATTGATTGACCATTAATTGTATTAAAAAAATGTTTGGACCAAATTAAAATCATCTCAAGGTTATTGTAGGTATATTAACAATTTCAATTTTTTTTTTCCATAAATTAATCATTGCAAAATAATCGAGTACATATATATATATGTGTGTGTGTGTGTGTGTGTGTGTACATTGCATTACTATTTGACCTTATAAATAAGTTAACCAGGTCAACGTGTGAAAATTGCAATTTTTTCGTTCTACTATCAAGTGGGATAAGTAGGAACGATGCTGGTAAATTCACATTCGATACTCTCGTGATCTCTTGAGCGAACGTTACGAACCCGTGTATGCGCGGAATCCTGGCGAGCATCCACATACGCTCGCGTTGCGAAGGTGGAGCTACTTTCACCAAGTAGCCATGTTCCACGATGCGCGGTGATAACTAAGAGCAGCCCACTTTGAGAGCTGCATTCCGAGTGCATACCGCGGTAGAGTGCACTCAGGCTCGGATTAAGTTCGAGGAATTCGAGCCGTTCGATGTTCAACGTGGAAACTCGACGGAGGGAGGGACGGGGTGAGGTTGAGAGGAGAGAAATGGAGAAAGAGGGAGAGAGAGAAAAGTCTTTCAAGTTCGTTGAAAGCCTAAATTTAAAAGAAGATAAAAAGAAATATTTTACAAAAAGCAAAAGAATTATAATTTATCTATGGCTACCATTTAAATACAACATAAGAATTTTCATTTAATTTTGATACGTTTGGTATACTTAATCTTAAAGATAAAAATAATGGAAACGAGTTGAAAACTTTGAGACAAGGTAATCATCAACAGGTGATATCCGAACGATGCGTTACGATTCTCTTTCTTCCTTCGATATTCGAGATTTGAAATGACAAATCGGGCTTCCGCGTTGCGATCGTACTACGTAATAACACGTACTATTATCGCGTACAGCATCGCGGTTATCAGGCGTGTGCGTGAACTCGCAGAAGCCGTACTCTCGGCTCACTCAGGCAGGTACTTTCACCGAGTGTAACTGAATTTCTCGTGGTATTCGCTTTGTCCGGAGAGGATAGTAGCCATTTACTTACTTACTTACTTACTTACTTACTTACTTACTTTTACATTATCTTATGAGGAAAGAAGAAAAGGAAATAAAAGCTAGAAATGGGAATGTGGAAAGAAATGGGATATGAATTTTTTGAGGATTCGGAGTAAGACTAGTATCAAGGATCTGGAGTATGTCGTATGAGAACGTAACGTTACATGGCACGAGTTACATACCACGAGAAAGCGAGAGACCGACCACGAGGAGTGCTATGCGACTACATCGGAGAACTAGTTTGATCGTTTGGTACAACTCGATATAGTCCCGATATATTTATGTATATCATATCGTATATACTCGTATACGCGTGTCACGCATGAGTTTCGCATTAAAGGAAAATCGATCTCACGCGGAAACATATCTGTTCATCTTTAAGAATGAAAAATATCTATTTAACAGAATTTAACTATAAAGAACTACGAGAAAGAAGGAAGAAGGAACGAGAGACAAGGGGGAGAATGGGTTGTCACGTGCGCGTACAGTTATACGTTACAATGTGATCGTAGAGGATCACGAACCGTTAGCGTTACTCTTAAATTCGATTATTTCCATTGCTTCCAAAGCTCTTACTCTCTTTTCTTTTCTTTTTTTTTTTTTTTTTTTTTTTTTTTTCATTTTTTTTCTCTTACAAGAAGCAACGCGAGCGTGCGAATTAATTATGCAAGATTAAGCGACGAAGTTTAATCGACGAGAAACGTCGGATGACAGTGAGGAATCGGCTCGTAAAGAAAAGAAAAGAATTGTTTCTTTCGGAACAACAACAAAGGAAGAATCTTTATTTCTATGGGTTATCCGGAGGGTTAGAGAAAAGGGTTGTAAAATGGATCGTTGTCTCGGGGCAACTTGTCTCGTAGAGACGGCGATGTTGAACTGGCGCGGTGCGGCGCTCGCAAATCGGGTACAAGGTAAAAGATTTATACGTGAGTGGCGTTCCAACGTCGGGCATCGGGTTTTATCGTGGATCGTAGCACGGCTTCATTATTCGTTTCTGGCACGTACGAGCGTTCACACCCGTTCACGGGCCACAATCTCGGGACTTTGCCAGCGAGTTTCTTTACTTCTCTCTTCTTCGCGAGAGAGGTAAAACGAAAGAAAACGGAATCAACCGTTCTCCATCGATTGTAGTGCCGAAGCTTCTCTTACTTCCTTTTTTTTTCTCTCTCTTAGACTCCCTCTCCCTCTCCCTCTCTCTATACCTTTTCCTGTTTAGAACAGGAAACGTACAACGAGAGTACTTCTCTAAAATAACTTTCAATCGACTTCTATACTTGACTCGAATGGACGTTGTGAAGTTCTCTCGACAGGAGACAGAAAAAAAAGATTTAAAAAATCAACCAAAAATGTTAAAAAATCCAAGAATACAAATCGCATAGATAGATTCGCGCAACGTTCGAATCGGGAAGCGCGATTTCAGGGCTAACTCGAGAAGAACCGCTTTCGTGCGGTTAAAGTCCAGCTGCGCTGCAACGTAAATATGAAGGTCGGAAGACCGCAAACCCTTTTCCATAAATTGCTTTCTACAGTATATATCTTACGTCGACTCTCTACGTTCGTGAAGAAGAACGTCAACGTTGTACGAGAAAATGTCAATGATGATATATGTATGTGTAACCGATTGAAGTTTCATCATTAAATTTCTACGCGGCACGTGCTCGTAACGTAAAATTTATTAATAAAACGTTTAGAAACGAGATCGAACGTGTGATACTCATTCAGGAATATACGCCATGAATGCATACATAAAAATCTTATGAGCTACAATAATCGAAGAGGAAGATCGCCCTTTTGTCTTTTTCTTTCTTTTCTCTTTTCTTCTTTTTTTTTTTTTTTTCTTTTCTTTTTCTTTGAGGCGGCCCTCGAAATTCCTTTCGTTCAGGGCAACTTCGAGCCAAGAATTATAATCATCTTCTCGCATCCTCTCCAAATATATTTCGACCCTCCCGACGAGTTTTTTTTTTCCCTGACTAGACAATCCGAGGCAACAGCTTGAAAACTACAAAAAAAAAAAAAAAAAGAAAAAAAAAAGAAACTCAAAAAAGCGACAGACTTTTCGACGATTTTAATATTTTCATTTTGGATTTAAAATTTGCCGCCGCATTCCACGTTAAACGCGTCCAAGATATTTTTCTACGGTGTTTCCAAGAGTGGATTATTTGTACCGGTACAACGCGTAAAGGTCTCCGAAGACGAAGAACATTTTGAACAAGAACCGATCATATTTACACGGAGCAAACACGAGAGCCTTCGTGAAAGCTTAGAAGCGAGTATGCGAAATACAAGAAAGCGAGCGTGAACATGCACGAGGGATGCAACTGCGTGAAATAAGAGGAACGTGGGGGGAGGGGGGGCAGCTAAAGAAATAAAAGAAGAAGAAGAAAAAAGAACGCGCGTAATTTCAACTCCTAAATATACCTATCTATCTATCTATCTCGTACACAATAGCCATTTCTTTTTTGGAATAAAAAAACTTCTAGACGCTGTAACAAGCCTTAAGGGAAACGAAACAAAAAAAAGAAAAAAAAAAAGAAAAAAAAAGAAGAAGAGCAAGATGAGATCTTATGAATAGAATGAAAAGTAAGTAGAGAGAGTCAATGATTCGAAGAGAAGAGCGAATGCGCGCTGGAAAAGACGCGGGCAAATCGCGCGGGAGATCGCAAGGGGGAGGGAAAGGTTTGCGCATGCGCATTCTCTTTGGTATGCACTGGTATGCGCCCACCTCCTTCCTTTCCACTCTCCTATCCGTTTTCTACTGACACGGCTCATTCGATTCTGCTGCACGATGTAGAACCCTCTCCGTCTGCTCCTACGCGTACGCGTGCGTACACTCGAAAGAAGGAAGGAAGGAAAGAAAGAAAGAAAGAAAGAAAGAAAGAAAGAAATTCTTTAATACTCGGCGCGCCTTTCGAAAGGCAAAGACCCATTCATGGTAACGCGGTTATTTTGTTATTTACAAACCACGCTATACTCGTATACTACTATAGAAACTCACATTCCTTATTTAAGATTTATAAGCCATTTTGAGATAGGTTAATCGAAAATTCGGGATCCTAATGTTTTATTTATAACCTTAATGCATATACCTTTAAAAAGTTCTGTTAAAGCTTATCCGAAACTATAATTAAATATTATAAAATATCAATGCATTTGAAATATTTAATTTTAAAATACCACGCAGTCCTCTAATCTCACTCTAATGTATTCATTAAAATTCCAAGCATTCCTTAATTTTAATTTTTGCATTCCGCTCGTTCATTGAAAGATAAGGATCATTAACCATCGTTGACTAATAAAAATACGACACGAATGATACGGAAGTATTAACGATATTATCGTAAGGAAAGAGAAAGAGAGAAAAGAATTATGAAATGAACAACAAGTAAGAATATATTCTAAGTTTTTATAGGAATGATGAAAATAAAGAATAAATTTTATCCCTATATCTTCGATTTAATCAAAGGGAACCTGTCATTCCTTTCAATAAATTCATAAATAATGTTGTAATTTTATTGAATTATTCGGTACCTTGTTATATTGCGAAGATCTATCTCGTGGAGAAAAACATGTCCCCTTGCACGTTCCCGCGTAATCCGATTAATCCAAATGTGACACTAAGAGGCGCGTGCGTTGCTCGTGCGACAGGTGGTCGTCGTTGTCAGTAGATAAACACTCGCGAAGAAAGAAGGATCTTTCGATTCTATCAGATCACATATCACAATGCACCAAAAACTGTTTACTTCTGTAGGTACGATTTTAACTAACAATCGTTGACAATCGAAGTTTCTTCGATCATGCCACTGAAGTGTCGTGGGCGCGCGCGCGCGCGCGCGCTCACACGTACGTGGTGTACCGAGCGAACGAAAAATGCGCTACGCGGCGACGTTCGCATTAATGGAACGTATGTTATCCAATAAAACTTGTTCTTTTTTTTCTTTTTTTCTGTCTGTCTCTCTTTCTCTCTTTCTGTCTATCTGCGTCTCTGTCTGTCTGTCTGTCTGTCTGTCTCTCTCTCTCTTTCTCTCTCTCTCTTTCTTTCTTTCTCTCTGTCTGTGAAAAGAAATACCTACGGCGTGGGCGGATTGGCTGCCTTTGCCTTTTTTCTTCGCGAGAAAAAAATTGCGCGTGGTTATTAGGTGCAATGCGCGTATACACGTAGAAAAATAAATTGTGATAAAAGGACAAGACGATAAAGAGACGTATTAACGCGAGAAAGAGGAAGAGAGATATAGGTGAGAGAATCAAAGTAATAACGAGAGGAAAAGAACGATACGCGAATTAAAAGTAATAAACAACAATGATGTGTACGCCACGGAGGCCGGCGAACGACTGCCGGTTGCCGGCGTACGTCCTGCTTGACTCGGTTCTCCGAGGAACACCGAACAAGCACCGCTCGACTGCCCGATCTCAGCCGATTCATCTTTCGAATCAAACCGCGTATTTTTCTTTCGCGAATCTTCTAACGTATCTTTTATCGTCCCTTAATTGTAATGAACATTGTGTATTCAAAATTCTACGTAACATTGATTTCAAACGTTTATAACCTGTTTGTAAAAAATTCGCGTAGCTAAATAAGATTTGTTCTTTATCGAAGCTAAAGAATGCGAGAACGTAATATAATAACAAACGCATAACGTAATACCAAAAACGCGTCTCCGGTTTTATATTCTGGTATTATAATTTGTTATAATTCGTTATCGTTCGACGGATATGAAATGAATTGCGCGCTTTACTCGTCACAGAAAACTAACCTCCCTTAGATCGGTTTTTTAGCTTTTCCAAGATGCGAGATCAGTGGCGACATCCTATGAGAGTTACGGCTAAATTCAGCATCAATTTCAGAGAAGAAGAATTTGTATGAACGAACGATAGGGGGCAGGAGAGTACGTTAGGCTATCTGCGAAGAAGGCCATAGTGTGACGTAAACGACGATCTAAACAAGTATCAGCTGTGTAGCAGTCATTGTTCGTATCATCCGTATTGGCAGGCATACAAGAATCCTGTTTTTTCGTGGATTTATTTGCTTTGTACGGGGAACGTTGTTCGTAGGTAAAGAAAGAAGTAAGCGCGCGTGTGGATTTTCTAAACGTAAGGAGGAAATAAAAAAAAGGAGGGAGGCGAGAAGAACTTTCCCGTGCAACGTAATCGTGGCTGCGTGCGTGCTTCAGCCCCAGCCACAGCCCCACCAACGAACTCGAGAGGGACAATAATCGTGTGAAAAACGGGGCGGTACGCGCATAAGCCTGGCCTCGAGCGGCGAGTCGGACGACGGTGGACTCGCTCCGCCACCGCGCAAAAGGTCCCGTAGTTCTCTCCCGGCTACTCTAAGACCAGCGGACGAGCACCACTCCAATCCAGAGATGGAGAACTATCGGTAACGCAACGCAGGTTCTTTATTTGCCAGACACAGTTCGCGGACGCGTAGTCGGAAACACGGAGAGGACATACCCCTCTTCGTACGTTCACTCAACGACCCTCTCACGTGTATCTTCTTCCTTCCAGAATCTCAAGACGTATCGACGTCGGATTCCTTTCGTATGCGCTGTATCCCCGAGCGGTTTTCTTATTTATCCAAATTCTTCCGTCGAATTCTTATTGATTCTCTCTCTCTTTAATGCAAACTTATACGGTTTTCAAATTTAATCGCACAAAAAACAAAAAAAAAAAAAAAAAAAAAAGTAAATAAATATATCAAAAATAGAAAACAAAAAGATAGAGAGAGAAGATATTACATGTCAAGATAAAAATGTTACGCTTAGTACGCATATGCGTTAGTATTCCGGACAAGTATTGCAACCACGGTAACATTTCCGTGTGCATAACAGCGTAATGCAGCAGCAGGCCTCAAACGGTGGAGTTTCTTCTGGGCTGCAACAGAACGGAGCTACGGCTGACACTGGGGGACCACACGCTAATGGCAATGTGATACCGGAATCCGATAATGACATCAATGGTGTGAATGGGGAAACTAATCCAAGTTTAGGACCTCCAAAAATAATGGACAAAACTAATCAGGACATTGTGAGACTCATCGGGCAACATTTGAAAACTGTTGGGCTAGAGTACGTATTGTTTCTTTCTAATAATTCATTGTATTTTCATATGGAAAAACATTCTCTGAACATTCACTTTAATCTTGATTGTTCAATCCTCTAAGAAATAATTTATTATTTTCAATATTATTGCATAGATTTGAATTTATTTTGACGTTTCTTTTGTTTCCTTTGTGAGCATTTATCAAGAGAACTATTCTACCATACATGCTACTTGGCAAGAGAAAGTTATTTTTAGAATCATGAAATATAGTCACTAGTATCTGCTAGTTATATTTACTTCGTAATGATGTTGCTCCGAATGAATCTGTTGGTACTATCTATATGAAATAAATTTCTAGCAAAATATAAGTTTTTCTTTAAAATTCCTGTTCAAATTTCTTGTCCTTTGTTTGAACTTTTAACTGTAATATATTTTTCATGTTAATACATTTGCGTGAAATCTTTATAATTTTATTTCTAATATAACTTACAATTTGTTAGGAATAATAAACAAGCATACAAAAATTTTTTTTTTGTTTTCTTCAGCCGCACAGCAGATCTACTTATGCAAGAATCAGGCTGTCGATTGGACCATCCAGCAGCTGCAAAGTTTAGACAGCATGTTATGGATGGAGATTGGAACAAAGCAGACCATGACCTTAATGAATTAAAGTCCTTTTTAAATGGTGCAAGTCAGAGCTTGGTGGTAAAGATCTTATTATTAAATTTTTTTTTGTATAATCGTCTAATTTCTTATTCAATATTATATTACATCTTGATTCGTGTTTATAGGAAATGAAATTCCTACTCTTAGAGCAAAAGTATCTGGAATATTTGGAGGAAGGCTTAGTACTAGAAGCTTTACAGGTTTTACGCAATGAATTGACACCCCTGGGCCATAATACGGGCCGTGTTCATCAATTGTCAGCATTTATGATGTGTAGCGGGCGTGATGAATTACAGGTACTCCACTTAAATCATTAAATCGTGTCCATTGTACGAATTAAAATTGTTATTTTAACACATTGTTGTTTTTACATTCTCCATAATAGTGAGCATATTCTAAATAGCAAATTCTTTGAGAATTCGAGTTTGAATACATATGTAGAAAATTCACAAAACTAACATGCAACTGAAAATTTGATCATTAGCAAATAGACACTTGTTGACAGACACGTGCAGGCTGGGATGGTAAAGGTTCAGCTTCCAGAGCAGCACTTATGGATAGATTGCAGAGGTATCTTCCACCTTCCATTATGCTGCCACCACGTCGGCTTCATTCATTGCTTTGTCAAGCAGTGGAAATGCAAAATCAGCAGTGCACATACCATGTAACGCATATGCAGGTATTTTAAAATAATAGAATTTACTGGAATGTATTTATTTCCTCATAACTTCTTACTTTGCATTTTCTTTCTTATGTATACTTATGTATATACGTTTTCTGTTTTATGTTTATTATCGCCATAAATTAGACAAGTTTGGAAAATGTGTCGCTGCTTGTGGACCACAGTTGTAGCAAAGAACAATTTCCGTGCCATACTGTACAATTGCTGAATGATCATTGCGACGAAGTTTGGTATTGCAAATTCTCTCCTGATGGTCTTAAATTAGCCACAGGTTCTAAAGATATGACTGTGATTATTTGGGATGTCGATCCGGTAAGAGTTATACAATTAATAAATAAGCTCTAATACTTGAAAAAGCTTATTATAATGTTATACTTCGTGATCCATCTATAGGAAACCTTAAGAGTAACGCACAGAAAAACGTTGGAAGGACATACATATGGCGTTGCGCTTATAGCTTGGAGTCCAGATAGTAGCCATCTTATTGCTTGTGGTCCTGAAGATTGTCCTGAATTATGGCTTTGGTGCGTCGATACGCCTGACTGTGAATTACGTGTTAAATTAACGCAAAGTACCGATGATTCTCTGACAGCCTGTGCCTGGCATCGAGATTCAAATAAATTTGTTGCTGGAGGACTTCGTGGTCAGTTCTATCAATGTGTAAGTTACAATTTAATAAAGATATCCAAAAAAAAAAAAAAATAATGTAAACCACTGAATTTAGTTGTTTTAATATTGTCTTTTGTCATTATACTGTTTCTATAAGATCTTTATTATATCAATACAGGATATGGATGGTAATGTCTCAGATTCGTGGGAAGGCGTTAGAGTTAAGTGCTTATGGTGTAGAAGCGATGGAAAAACTGTTTTAGCAGCTGATTCTCATCATCGAATTCGAGGATATAATTTTGACGAATTATGTGATTTTACAATGTACGTCAAATGAATCTGTTTTTTTCATTAATTTTCTCATCATGGTTACAATTTAATATAATTGATATTTTTTTATTTAATTGTGTATAGATTACAAGAGGATCATCCTGTCATGTCCTTTAGTGTAAACAAAGCGGATAGACTTGCTTTACTTAATGTGGCTAATCAGGGTGTACATTTATGGGATTTACAAGATCGTTGTTTAGTAAGGCGTTTTCAAGGTGTTACCCAAGGACATTTTACAATTCATAGCTGTTTTGGAGGTATCAATCAAGATTTTATCGCGTCTGGTAGTGAAGGTATGTTGAGTAAATTGATCCTATTGTTTCTTCAAATTAATGTACAAATGTATCTTTGCACAAAAAATTTCGCAATATTATTACTATATTTTTTTTTTTTTTTTTTTTTTTTTTTTTTTTTTTTTTTTTTTTTTTTTTTTTTTTTTTTTTTTTATATTATAGACAATAAAGTGTACGTATGGCATATCAAGCGAGAGCTCCCCATAGCGACTTTAACAGGGCACAGTCGAACGGTTAATTGTGTTTCGTGGAATCCTGTTTATCATCAAATGATGGCTTCTGTATCTGATGATTGTACAGTTAGGATATGGGGACCAAGGTCTTCCTCTCCCGAAAAAGCTGATAATGATAAGACTGGTAAGCTTTATACAGATTTATTCTATAGACACAATTAATGTGTATATACTTCAACTTGATATTTTCCTTTACTTTAAGATCTTACATTATTTCATCACATACGAGTTATTGTCGTTATATTGTAGCATCGGTAGAAAGTGCATCCTCAAATAGCAGTGGCTGGCACGAAATGGTATCGTAGCGAATTACAGCACATCAAAATTCCCATGACTTCATGGTGTTCAAAAGACTGTTTTACTGAATGTCATGCTGACTTTTTCCTGCCCATCGCAATTATCCCTCTGTGCCTCACTATCATCAATTTATAGACCATCAATTAAATGTGGAGGTAAATGGGGGATATGGACGTTAGCAATAAACTGCTAACCAATAAAATGCTAATCAGATATGTAAAAATTTGGGAACTTATGTGTACGTTTCTTTTTGGTTGATTTACGGATTTTATATAATATATAATCCGTCTCACTATATCTCACATTGAGCTGTGTGATTTATTCATACGAGGTAATACTTGAAAATAAAAAGAGAGGAGCATAATAAAAAATAAATATAATATGTTATGGCAGTATAGAAACTAAAGAAATTCCGTCTTAGAATTAGTGTAAGGGTGAAGGTTTATATGCATGAATAAAGAAATTACAAAGAGGGCAACCATTTGGTCACACTGTTTTGACAAGGATTATGTGAAATCTGTTTAATCATGCTAATAAAACACATTGTAAATAACAGTCGTACGTGTAGTGAATCTCTAACTCGTTTTATATTTCATCAGTGGAAAAGACAAGATCTATGTTTCTAGCATACAAACCGAACTTGACGTCTTATATCGAACGAGAATGCTTCATGTGATATGCTGTTAATCTTGAAAGGTTACTAGATGATTAAATATAGTGAACACAGAAAATAAGAGAAAAGAATTTCGAACTTTGTATATTGCCATGCAATAAAAAAAGAAATAAATACAGGTTTTATAATTATAATTTTGTTTAATAGAAGGAACTTGGAGTGCAAAGATAAAATATTTTACAAGTTTATCTCTATAATTTTAATACACAAAATCGAGTGTATAAGTAAACAATGTATAATTATGTTTGTATGTTTGTCTTTTAACTGCCACATTTTCAAAATAAAAACTCGATTCAAATTTCAATTTAATGCATTAAATATATCCAAGGCATGATAAACATTTTATGCATGACCTCATATCCTATAAAAATCATTTTTATAAACATACCATTTGGTTTTAATATTTAAAAAAAAAAAAAAAAAAAAAAAAAAGAAAGAAAGAAAAAAAATTGCTGTATTGAAAAAAAAAAGCGAAAAAAAATCCCAACTTTTAATCCACATTAAATGTATCTAATCAGTAAGAATTTTTAATGGCAGTTATGGGACGAATTGTTAAAATCTTTATTTTTCTATAATAAGGTATTAATATCAATGAATTTTATATTTGTTAAAAAGTGATATAAGCATAAAGCAGAAGATATTTCAATGAGTATCCAAACTTTAAATATCTATCTGTAAATGCTGCTCATAATGTCCCTTTGCATATTAACTTTGCTTTGCATGCAAAAAAAGATTGCTAACATACTTTACTATAATATACATGCTACTTAAACAAAATGCAAGAAAAAAAAGACGAAGAAATTTAATTTTGCACACAGAAAGTGAAAAGATCTTCTAATCATCCTGAAGTGTATGTATAAAAGTGCTTACTTTCATAGTAAATATTATATAAATAAATATAAAAAAAAAAAACAGAAAAAAAAACAAAAAAAAAACAAAAAAAAAGAAGAAAGAAAGAAAGAAAGAAAGAAAGAAAGAAAAAAAATACAAAAGAAATATCTGTAGTTGATGCTCCCATATAGTACTATTAGAAAAATATATTAATCACGATTATCATTTGCATTTACCTCTGGTGCCTTAGCACTTTATAAACTAACTAAATATTTCCAGCACTTTATCATAATTTATAATAGCATATATAATACGTTTCATACAGTTTACATTATGATGAAGTATAATGTCTATAAAATTGTACAAAAGTTCCACTCATTTATAAGTAACCTTTCGATTTAACTTAAGCATTCACGTGATGTTTTACAATGGCTTCTTCATATGCAGCCTAATATGTATAACTTTAAATAGATTATTATATCAATAGCAAACCATCTGTACATGGTCTGTCTTTTGTACTTTTCCTCACGATATTATAAAAAGCAATAATGAAGATTGTAGAGAGAAGTAACTTGTATATAGAAGATATACTACATGTTTGCTTTACGATTTAATATCCTTAATAGATAAAATACTGAGAAAAATTAATGCCATTATTATTTGATAATTGAAAATATTATTATCTCTACAGACATCTCTGTTTAATATATAAATTTCATTCAGTTATATACTTCCAAAGTACGAATCATTAATCTATTACTATCTATAATTTTTCAGCTTTTTATTTTGTAACAAAAGAAATTTTATACATAACTATATTTAATGCAATATGTTTTCAAAACAATTAATAGTTATTAATGTTTAAATATACTGTCAATCGTTTAACTTTCTCAATATAGTTTTTTTTTTCTACAACAAAATAAAAAAAAAGTATACTATGATGTTTAATATTATTATGTGATGAAATAAATCAACGATAAGGAAACGAATGATATTTAGTATTTTTCGATTATGTTATTCTCTTTTTTGTCAATTTTTAAGCAAGAGTTACATTTTAGTTTGTTATCTGATATGTAAATAAAGTAATAAATGTATACTGTTTTATTATATAAAGAAAAGAAAAGAAAAGAAAAAAAAACAAAACATTGATGTGCAACAATGACTCTTATTGAGAGAAAATTTTGTTTTCATTTATAAAAATATCATTATCATAATTATTTCACGTGTACTTAACTCTAAAAGAGTACTAATAGCCATTATTATAGATTATTATGTATGCATTATTACAATAATGTATATGAAAAACACATCCATTGGAACCAATCAAAAGCTGTTAGTACTCTTATTACCATGTCCCATATACAAGATGTATGCATTGTTCTAAAACTATTACATGATTTATAAATGAATATCTAAAAAAAAAAAAAAAAAAAAAAAAAGAAAGAAAAGGAAAAAAAAGAAGAAAAACAGAAAAAGAAAAGAAAAAAGATACATATATAATTTTTGTAGATTTTGAATTCTTTTAATATATGAGATTTTTATATGTTGAAAAGGCCTCTTACTTTAAAAATAAAATGTAGTGAATTAATCAAAACAAATTCTACAGTTACTATGTACTTCTTTTGATTTGTAATTTTGTTAGAGATAATAGATGCATATTGTAAAGTGTTTTATATTACACGAATGTAAGATAGAATTGCTTTAAGAGTATGAAGTTATTTTTCTAACTATAAATTATATAAAATTCCAAATTCACAATTTGTTGGGCGTTCCTGTTTTCTTATAACAATAATTTAACTATTCTATTTTAATGTACATTATGTTAGAATAATAATTAGCCTTCATAATGTAACTTATTTCATGTGTTATGAGGCATAACTTATTTCATATATTCCATAACATATGAAATATATATATAAAAATAGATTATATTTTAAATGCAGGTAAATTTTAAATGTAATATACATACATATATATATATATATATTTATATACACATATATATATATATGTATGTGCGCGCGTGTGTGTATGTGTGTATGTGTATGTGTACACATTTACCTGTAAATACAAAGATTAATACAGCTGTCTGTAATGACATGGCCTAACAGGGCCAGAGCAACATTATTTGCACTGTACATTATAACAAATAAACTATAAAATTTTTGAAGTTTCGCGTAATATGAGATATAAGTCAGTAACGTTTGAATATCACTCGACCCTAATGTTAAATCAAATGAACATAAATTAAATATTTTCAAGACAATAGTTTAATTAAAAATTATAATTCAAATTATATCATGAAAGAAAGGAAACATTATTAACATATTGTAATTTTGTGTTTGATATAAAATCATAGTCAAAATATAACATCTAATATCGTTATTAACATTTTTTTGCCAAGAGTAATTCTATTTTCTGCTAATTTGTTCGATTAATAAACAAAAATTAATAAATAGATAATAATGTCGTCGAGTGCTATTCAAAAAAAAAAAAAAAAAAAAAAAAAAAAAATCGATTATAATTGATATCGTAAAATATTATTCGTATATATACTTTTAAATAAAATTAGTAGAAATTTGGACTATAAGGATCAAGTTAATTGATAGAAATTTTATGCGAAAACAAATATTCCTTTTTCTACAAATGTGTTTCTCGCAAAAAAATATTGAACGTAGTCGTTAAAATGCATTATTCATTGTATCGACGTAAGTAAATAAAAGATAAAAATATAATGCGTAGATGATAAAAGACGATTATAGAACTTACCGAAATTAACAGTGCTATATTTGATGTATCGTTAAGAAACAATGTACGATATAACAATACATATACGTATGGAAAGTATAATTTATGATATTTACGGATTAGATATTAACATTTTAATCTATTTAAATGGATTTTTAACTTATCCTCGGTAATATGAAAGTGGATAGAAATAAAGTAATGTAACGTATTAATTAAATTCACCGCGTGAATAAAGTATCGAACGTAGAAACATATATATCGATAGGATAGCGAGTTTTCAATATCTCGAAAGTGTATCTAGAATCGAGACGTGGGTGAGCCGGTTAGTGAATAGCTATTATTATTATTCTATATCCCTTCCTATAGGTTCGTATTGAGACGACTCAAGATTTTGTCTCTTATTCACCATGGTATTGATGATTTCCTCTTTAGGAAATCGCATTCCTTTTTAGTATGCTTCACAGAACACCAAAACGTAGCTTTGATAAAATTAAAGTTGCCAAATCAATTGTTTTGTTTGAGAGTATCCTCTTTGGTTGTTCATTAATATTTTGGAGTTGTATGAGTAGATCGCAAGGTAAGTAAGTGACTTATTCTTGTGAATCCGATGTTAAGTTCAGGTTATTGCCTTTAACGATATTTTCCTTTCATATATGACATGTCATGAATTTATACCTGATATTTCTTGCTTCTTTTTTTTTTCTTTTTTTTTTTTTTTTTTATGACGACGAACGTTAAATAACTTCACGAAATCGATATAGTCAATGTACATTGATAAATTTTTTCTTCCTATAGTTTCCTCAAGCCACTTTAAAAGTTTAATGTATTTTCTCTGGTGAATATTTTGACTTTAACATTATTAAATGGCACGATAATATAAGTATACTTTTCTTGAAACATTTATCGTATATTTTTTTAATTAGAACAGTAGATATGCGATATGCTTGCACATTTTCTTTTCTTTTTTTTTATCTTTTAGATTTCAGGTTTTATATGCGCCAAAACTTGCCATCTTTGTTAAATGGTTATTATTATATATATGAAAAAGTATCAAATGATAATTCAATCAGGACAGCTGACACGATGAAATGGGAACAAAATTAAGATTTAGTATTCATGGCGTTCTTCAAATCTATGTTACTGTTAATAGGTGGTGGAGGTTTAGGATATTATCTAATACAAACCCTATCAATAACTCAACGTGAATTAGAAGAGGTAATGTACATTAATATATCTTGCAATGAGTACGATTAAATATTTTTATTTAAAAAGTAAATAATTATTGATTTAAGAATATTCCTATAATATATTTATTATATTATACATTTGTAGATTCTTGCTTATGAGATTTCACCTAAAAAATCTGCCACAGAAGATAAAAATAAAGTACTGAAACAATTGAGGAAAATAAAGAAATCAAGCGAAGAGAAATTTATGAAATCTGTCTCTGTGCTATTTGAAGATACTATAAACAATACCAACAAATAGCATTCAGATAATAATAAGATGGAGAATACTAATTTCCTCGAAGGCAGCTTGCCAGAACGTATCAATAAAAGAGATCGTGAACGAAAGAACATCATTGAAAGACGGAAAGAAGAACGACAATCCCTCGCTGTGGAATCTGAACAAAGTAGTTATTTTAAGGATACATTTTATTCATCGTGTAAAAAAATTAAAGATATGTTAGATGAGGCATCTAGCGCACCGTCATCTGTTCTTTCGGTTGCTTTTGACAAAATAAGTAAAGAAATTCTGATGCTTAAAAATTATTTGTCTCAGTCAAAAATGTATCTAAAAGTATATGATATTAGAAGAGCACAGGAAAACTTACAATTACTTGAAAATGAAGCGTCAGAATTAGAAATGCAACTTTTACCTAAGAAAAAGTTTGGATTTAAAAATAGAAGAGTTGTAAAAAAACCCCCAGAAAAAACGTATGATGTAACGGATGGATTAAAAGATCTCAAGATATCAGAAGGTATTGTGAATGGTTCGGTAAAACAAAATAATAAAACATTTAATAAATATGGGGAAAATGCGTGTATATTGGTAGGAAAGTCTGATGAACAGTTGGTTCTGGATGCTGAAAACGTAAATAAGAATGATATTCTTCTTTCCGATCTAACTCGATGTACAGTAAGAATATATGGCACACCTAGTACACTACATATGATAAATTTGAAACAATGTACTATCTTAGTCGGACCAGTGACATCGTCCGTATTTGCTCACGACTGTGTTGAATGTGTATTTGCTTTTGCATGTCAACAATTTCGATTACATTCATCTACAGATTGCACTATATACCTCCATGTTACTAGCAGAGCAATTATAGAAGATTGTACAAATATAAGAGTAGCACCTTACAATTGGTCTTATGAAGATCAAATGAATCATTTTAATTTAGCTGGTCTCGATCCAAAAATAAATAATTGGAATTGTATAGATGACTTCAATTGGTTATCAAGTGAAAAACATTCGCCAAACTGGTCTATTCTTGAACCTGAATTACGTATAAAAAATTGGGATTAATATAAATATGTCATTCAAAGCTTAATATTTACTGTTCTATAGGCAGGTGTTTACTCTTCTTTAGATTAAGAATTAGTTGATCCATCAAGATAAATTATTTATGCATATATCTTACTTTTTTCACCAGAATGTAAAACTATGTAAGTGTTTTATATACTTACGTATTTAATAAAATTACTGGCTCCATACTATGTGCATATAAATGACTAATATATTGTTTCATATTTTAATATGAATATCATTTTAATTTAGTGACATTTACTTAATCAGAATAATAGATATATATTTTTTATAGTATTATTATTAACTAATATGTAATATATCCTTTGACACTGTTACCTTTTATAAATAATAATATAGTATAAAAAATATAATATGAAAAATATATAGTATGAAAATAAATATATATATTTCTCGTACTGAGTAGAAAGTGAAAGTAATTAACTTGATGTTATATACAAGAATATTATCTTTGCAATTTAGATTAATGTTTAATATATGATTTCAAATTTTAATGAATCCCGTGAACCTCGTATAAGGTTTTGTCGCCAGATGGCAGAATAGAATACTATCATTAGCGCATCTATCGGCAATGAAAATAAACGAAACTTTTACTTTCGTATATAAGTTTGGCCCCCCTGATATCCAGTCATATGATCGCCAACCAAGAAGGGCGAGTCTGGGCGTTCAAGTTTTAATCTTGACAATTTGTAGACTTAAAGTGACATACATATTTTTCTTAAAAAAAAAAAAATATCAAAATGAAGGGTTGTATGTTTAATATAGATGGTGGATATTTAGAAGGGCTTTGCCGTGGTTTCAAATGTGGAATACTTCAACAAAGCGATTATCTCAATTTAGTTCAATGCGAGACACTCGAAGGTAGAGCAATTATATTTCTTAATAAATCATAAGGAAGAGTCAGCTACACAGTTGGATAGTTGCTTTTCTAGAAGAGTCAACTAAATTTTGTTGTACTTAATAAATATTAAATGTTATATATATCAATCATATATATGTATATATACACATTATCTTTTTCAATGAATATTTACAGATTTAAAGCTACATCTGGCTGGTACAGATTATGGAAGCTTTTTAGCAAATGAACCATCGCCCCTTTCTGTGAGTGTCATAGATGACAAGTTGAGGGAAAAATTAGTTGTGGAATTTCAACACATGCGCAATCATTCTGTTGAACCATTGGCACAATTTCTTGATTTTATCACATATAGTTACATGATTGACAATATTATATTATTAATTACTGGTACTTTACATCAAAGACCTATTTCTGAATTAATTCCAAAGTGCCATCCTCTTGGTAGTTTTGAACAAATGGAAGCTATTCATGTAGCTGCTACACCAGCTGAATTATACAATGCTGTTTTAGTAGACACACCATTAGGTAATAGCATTCTTTGTTTTTTCTTTTATTCTTTTTGTTTTTTTTTTAATTTTGTATTGAAATTTTGATAATAGGACCTATTAACTTTATATATCAATTTTATCATTTACAGCGCCTTTCTTTGTGGATTGTATATCTGAACAAGATTTAGATGAAATGAATATTGAAATTATTCGTAACACACTTTATAAAGCTTACCTAGAAGCTTTCTATAAATTCTGCAAAGATATTGGTGGTACAACTGCCGATACTATGTGTGAAATACTTGCTGTAAGAAATCTATATAACTATAATATAATTACAATCCCATAATATATAAAATAATATCAATAATATAGAGTATAAATTATAATTATAGTTTGAGGCTGATAGAAGAGCAATTATTATAACCATTAATTCATTTGGAACTGAATTGGGTAAAGATGATCGTGCAAAATTATATCCACGTTGCGGGCGTTTGAATCCAGATGGATTGGCTGCATTAGCAAGAGCTGATGACTATGAACAAGTTAAAGCTGTAGCTGAGTATTATGCTGTAAGAGAAAATAATTTTTTGCCATTGCAAATTGGCATTGTATTATCATGAATATGGTTGCATTTATTCAATATTATTCAATATTTTAAATTTATGTAACATAATATTGAATTTGTATAAATCATACAGGAATATAGTGCTTTATTTGAAGGAGCAGGTAATAATCCTGGTGACAAAACTCTGGAAGATAAATTCTTTGAACATGAAGTAAGTTTTACTATCGACTTGAAATAAATTGAATATATTTTATTGTTTAATTCTATGAATCTTTTTTATATATATATTAATGTTGTATATTATAGGTTCGTTTAAATGTTCATGCATTTCTTCAACAATTCCATTTTGGAGTATTCTACAGTTATTTAAAACTTAAAGAACAAGAATGTCGTAACATTGTCTGGATAGCTGAATGCGTTGCACAAAAGCACCGTGCTAAAATTGACAATTACATTCCAATATTTTAATTGTATCTTGTTTTGTTTAAATCAATTACATAATTTACCAGAAATCACTTATATATTAATGTTATACAACAATGAATTTCTTTCTATCCTGCTCCTGTTGTATTTAAATATTTAATATGTATGAACATATATAAGAAGAGAAAAAGTTACCCATTGCTGTGTAGAAAATAAAGAATAATGTACAACAAACTGCCAAGAAAAAAAAGTAATACTGATGCATTGTTTAAGATGTATTGTCTAAATTGTTTCATGTATTTTCTTCCAAAATCACCAAAATTTTCATATAAATGGAAATGATGTGAATGACATTGTGTACATAGTGTATTTTATTGCAATATGCAGTGTAACTCATTGTGGCATATAGTATTATTCCATGTTATGCTTTATATCATTATGTAGTATGTAATAATTATAATAATATTAATAAAAAATAAAGGTACCTACATTCTACATGATATAATACAAATGTTTATGTCTGTATGTACCTGTACATATTGAAGTCGATTAATAACATGTTACCAAGAAATAAATTTAAAAATGTGTAACTGTAAACAGTTCATTTGTTGTAATCTATGAGCTAATTTTATCCACTGAAAGTTTGCAAAAGTTTCATGATTCTGTTTTCAGCTATATCCACAATGCTTGTAACAATGTAACATTGTCAACAATGTTTGATGTAAAGAGCAAAAGATATGTTCGCATCCATACCCATTATCAATGCATGCAATATGTTGTTCATTTTTATAACAAAATTCACTTTTGCACGATCGAAGAATGGATAGCACATGATTTAAATAATATTATTTTTAGTTTAGTTATTTTGTCATAGAAAAATTGAAAACACAACTTATTTTCTAATAATTTGGTCACTTTCACATTGCATTCGATCACCATCCATTTCTCTACTTCTTATAACATTTGTTTCCTCATTCTTTGAATTTGTATTACATACGACGGGAGGTACTGTAACATTATTAATGTGTTTAAGAGTACCAGGAGAAAGAGGCACTGATGTACAAATTGTATTTTTAATAGCATTATTAACCATATTTGGCGGTTGATAAGTTGCTAAACTTTTCAGACCGATTACTTCTGGATTTTCTTTCCAAAAACGGTCACCAATGATATCATCTACCAGCGGCACAACAGCAGGTTTTAATCGTCCTGTACCATCTGGCACCAATTTACGTAAAAGTGTAGTGCCTTTCCGAAATATAGCAGGCTCATTGTTATAATTTATTCCAAATTCTTGAAAAAGCAATTCATTTTTGTGCGAAGCTAAAGTACCTCTAAGTTTGTCCTCTGCCTAAAAGGAGATATAAATTAAATTAAATAATATAGGGTGGAACATAATATGTTTCATTAAATAATAATATAAAACATAGGAATTATACCTGGCTTGGGGTTAATTTTCCCTTAAGGACAAGATTCCAGAAACATGTGTTATATAAATTATTCACATGAACATCTGCCTGACGCCAGGCCAAATAATCTCTTAAATTTTTATCAGTTGGATATAAGACAACACGAGCATCAAAGGATGGCGGATAGTAAAGATCTCTACCTCTGAAAAATCGAGGCCAATGATACACGTAGGAGGAAGCAAATAAAGAATTAACATTGGACATGAGTTTGGATGCTGAAAAATCAAATATTAGGTGTTACAGACGAATGGGAATTATTAAAAAAATCATAAAATTGTTTACTCATAAAAAAAAAAACGCTTTATAACCGAATAAATTGATCGCGTACAACATACCTCTGCGTTTATAAAGTTGTGTGTCTTTACGAAAGACAAAGGAATATTCATCACTTTGTCCAAAACCTAATATTATTTCTTTGAAATCTTCCATAACAGTAATAGCAGCACGATTCATCAACTCCAAAGCGGCGACATCATTCGGCTTAGCAAATTGGTGCGCGTCGGTAAATTTCGAAAAATTTCTTCCATCTATTCTAACCACAATCCAACAATTTGGCAAGCAATTATCGTCACGTTCGAATTCTTTAACATATTCAAATTTACTTTTCGCCATTGCTGTCAAACTTATGCGCCGGGATATGGCCACTTGTTTGCTCCAGCTAATGATTTTCAAGAAGCCACTTCTCTTCATTCGTTTCGAACCGTTGCACCGGGATAGAAGCACCGCTTCTCCTTCACTTTCTTCGATTGTACGCGCTTAAGATCATTCGCTCGCTCATTCGGTTAACCGGAATCACTGTGATTGAAAATTCGTCAACAGCATTCGTGTGTCGTAACTTAACACATTTAATAGATTTTTATTTCAATTAAAGAAAACACTGTATCTCGTACGTTGACGTGCAAAAGCTCTCTATCAACATCAACTGCATGTGACATATCCACGTGCACTTTTATTGGTTAAGTAAATAAATCCATCGAAAAATAAAGGTCAATGTAAACACGTTTACATTGCACTTATTTTATAATCGAAACAAATTTTACATTTTTTTTTCCTTCTAATTTGTTCCTACGTTTCCGTTAATTACGACGCTCATCTTTCCTACAGCTCTCTATAATTATTATTACGCGCTCAATATCATTCTACATTCAATATGGATTTACATAAAAAGTATATGGAATTTTCTACAAACGATATATCCATATTGGAAATTATTGATGCTTCATTTAAAGACGATCCATTTCTTTATTTACATCGTTTAGTTCAATCCTATAATAATGAAATTAACAAAAATATTTTGGATATAAAGAAACTCCAAACTTTTCATACAATATTATGCTACGAATATCAACTCAGATTTCATTCTAATAATATATATGCATATAAAAATTTGGAAGATTTTTCTTTTCAAAACAACATTGAAAATGTTTTATTTCCTCAAAACCAATGGCGTAACATGTCAGAGATATTGTTTATTTACGATATTTTGCTATTACAAATGGTTTTGTATTGTGATATGCAATCTATTAAAATAAAATTAGAAAATTTCAGAAAGTTTAGAAATTCTAATCTTAATAATAGCAATGAAACAAGAGAGCTGTATATGAAAGTACTAGAGTGTTTTTTGGATACATTGCATCTGCATTGTTATCTTTTTAAAAACGGAAAACAGGAGGAGTATGAAGAATTTATTCCCTTATATATAGAAGATATAAAATGTTTAATAACTACAAAAGATGATATACAATGGAGAACATTAGCATCAATTATACCAAAAATCAATCGTACATTTGAAAAAAAAAAAGTAGTTTTTCCCATCTGGAATCTTTTCTTAAATGAATTAAAAGATCTTGAAGATTTACTTGCCACGATTAATATACTTGCTGATCATTATTTTTCTTTAGAAAAAGATTCTCTTTATGATCTATATTATGATCTATACTGTAAAGATAGATTTTGGTTGATAATCTCAAAGGGATTAGAATCTTCTGTTCAACAGTATCGAAAGTGGGCATTGTTTCTAATGAAGAAAACGATTGATTTTATGAGTGAGATAAAGTTTGAAAATTCGCATCTAAAAAAAAATACATTGACTCCTTTTATTTGCATTACTTGCCTTAAAAATGTAAAAAGTAATAAGGAAAAATTTTTTTTGGTGTTAGAAGCATTGGAAGAAAAACAAAAACATTTGATATTGCCAGCTTTAACTCATTTACCTGGGTTGATAAAAAGTAATGAAGTATGTGGCAATTGCTTTAATATTATATGGTTAGGTTGTATTTTTAAAAGAATATTGCAGCATGAGAATAATAATATAGTGAAGCTTGGATTATTAAATATTTGCAACATGGATGTAATTATGTGTGATGAACAGTTTCTTGGTTTTTTTGTAAATATGTTAAATAACACTTTTTTGTATGAAATACAATCTGATAATAATGAATCAGAAATAATAAAGGAACTTACAGGATTACTATCCCGCATAACCAGACATAAAAATAAATTTATTTTAAAGAAATTTTTGTATCATATTAGTCAAATTAAATGGGGTCCTGTAGCAATGTTTTATGTGACACATATTCTTTATACCGTTTTTGAAGAGAATCAACATTATATTGAATTGGAAGACAATGATTTAAATGCTATTCAGACATTGATATCATTAAATTTGAATATGCATTCACCCATTTTACGGATTGCATCTCATATTAATATTATAAAAATGATTTCTTATTCTTCAATTTCAGTAAACGATTTAGAATTACTTGCAAATGTTCTATCTACTTTTCCTTCAGAAGAAGTTTTGAGAAGAGGTTCAAGTACTTGGGAAATTATTATTAAATGGTTACCTAAAGTAATAACAAAATGTAATGCTGCAAATTTTATTTCTCATATCTCAGAAAAATACCTTCTGAAAAATCAATTTGAAATAAATATTAATACATTCGCACTCATGATTTTTCTTCTATATGATGCAAAATTAATATTTTATTCCAAATCATGTCCTGCTATACAAGCAATAAAAACTTGCTTAGATTCATTGATAGGATCTGATGTGAGACCATATTCTAATCTTTACTCAAATATTAAGATACTTGAATTAATGTCATATTTACTAAAGGTCAATATTATGGGAAATTGTAATAATATCACACAAATGTTGTTTTCGTATGGTGATACTGCTATGAGAGTTATAATAAAAAATTTAAGAAAAGCAACGATGACACTATGTTATGAAGATTTAGATAAATTTTTAAATATTATTACAACGTTTTTCAATAATAAAGATTTATTATTTTCAAAAGAAGCAATGTGCATGTATGCAGAAAATTTACAAAAACCATTACTTGTAAACATAAATTCTGTACAAGGTACTGAATATTTATCTATTTTACACGTTTTACTTCTATGCCAAAGCACAAATCTTGCATTATGTTCAAAAGAAACGTATGAATTCTGCATAGCAAATATGCACAAATTTCAAGTACTTAACAATGAATGTTGTTATACAGAAAATGAAAAAGGAAAGATTATATCACATTATTATTTTCTCATGACAAAATTAATGTATAATTATCTTCAACAATTTTCAATGGAATTGTGGAAAATAGAATGGTATGACATTATAACAAATGTGTTTCAACTGGAAGGTATTAAGATAATACCAACAGTAGCGATAATACTAAAAACAATTATCGAAAAAAATGGGCTACAAAGTTCAGAAGATATAGAAAATTTTACATCAACTGTTCAGTTATGCTGGAGAATTACATTTTTAAATAAAAAAGATGCTATTTTCTCGGTAGCAGTAAAAAATCTTGTTGCAATTATAGTAAATTCTAAGTTTCTGAATTTACCAAATATTGTGATAATTATAAATCCAGTAAGAAATAATATATTAAAATATTATTTTTAATTTATTATATCCTTATACTTAAATTGTATTTTAGTTTCTAACTCAATTGATTCAAGAAAGTGACAATATACCAAATCTAAAAAGAATATTGTTAATTCACATGGAAACATTAGATATAAATAATATATTATATAATAAAATAAATTTTGACAAATTATTATTAGCATGCCTTCTTCATGGTTATGCTATTAGACGAGATAAAAAGATTGAGAATCAAATATGTTTATATATTGAAAAAAATTTGCAAGACTTCTATAAACTTCATTTGTCAATCACGTAAGGTTATGTACTAAATTAATAAAAAAAATTTTAGGCTTTGTTATATTAATAATTCGCTATATTAAAATATATCATTTTTTTGCTTTGTTCGTAGTGATTATAATAATGATGCAATTGTGAGGGCACAAGCTACAATATTACTTCACAAAATAATTACCAAAAAACCTGAATATGCATCTATATTTTTGCATTCTGTTCTTGCAGAATTGGAGAAAAATAAAAATAAAAGATATTTTAAAGATTCTCATTTGCATAGAGTTAAGCATAGACTCATACAAATATTATTGGTGTTAGAACCATTACTTAATATGGTAATAAAAAATAGAAAATTCTACAAGATCATTTTTGAGACAATTGTCTGTATACTAAACTAAGGAAACAAGTAATCATATTTTTTTATAGGAAAGTATTTCATCCCTTCAAGAAATATTATGTAATTTAATTCTATTAGAAAGTAATCAACATAGTATACGTCTAATGCAAGAGTGGTTATTAATTAGGATTTTTGTAAAATATCCAAATTTACATAATAAATTATGGAATTTCTTTGAAGAGGTACTCTAAAGTAATGCCAAAAATCTATATAAAACTTGTTATCATTAACTATCTCAATTTATATACAGAGTCTCTTGAAACGTCCTGGATGTACAAGTTCAATTGCAAGTGTGATATATCATGTAGCTCTACTTCTTTCTGGTCAAACTCAATGTGATTTTCTTAGACAGGCCATGCCATATATTGCATGCTGTTGTTTAGGCCAAAATTACAATATGCGTTTATACAATCAGGTAAGTCAAACATATTAGGATTATAAAACTGAGGTATAAGAAATTATGAACTTTTTTTTTATTATATCAAAATAGGTGATTTTGGTAAAGTTATACGAATTATTAAAATGCTCAAATTTTGATGATATATTAGAATATGTAGGATTATATAATGCAGCACTTAAAAGTTTACAACAAGGAAATTTAATGAAAAATTCATTAAAAATACAGGATGATTTTTATTTTTCTGTTTTTCATCCAATAGATGATTATAGTTTGCAGGTAATCAATTATATTAAAAATGTATTATATTCTTTTTAATATTATATCTGATCTATTATTAATTTTGTTGTATTCAAATGCTTATAATATTTTTAGACTATCTATTTTGAGATTCCAAGATTGTCAGCCATGGATGCAGATGAGTGGATTGCATCTCATTTATTTCATGATTTAAATTTTACAGAAACTATTAATCATCCTTTATGTTTGCAAAATTTAAATAAAAAATTAGCCGAATCTAAACTATGTATGCATTTGATAAAATCTGCTCCATGTAAGTTAAAGTAGTTATATAAATGTTCTGACATTCATTGTTTAAAAAAAAAAAAAAAAATAAAAATGTTTTGTAGGTAATAAGGAAACATCACATTTCAATGAAATGGATGATGATGGCCTGTGTAATATACAAAAGAAAATTACACCTGTTAAGTCAGTTAATTCTATTGAAAATAACATTGGGATAATGTCACTTCAAAATACTGTATCTAATATCATAGATGAAAATATTATAATTGTTGCATCCCTAATTGATCGTCCTGCAAATCTAGGAGGTCTTGCAAGAACATGTGAAATATTTGGTGCTAATGAATTAATTATTGGAAATTTACAATATACGAAAGAGAAAGAATTTCAAAATCTCAGTGTGTCTTCCGATAAATGGATAAATATTACAGAGGTATTTATTTAAAAATATTCATGCATATATATTTTGTAAAATTAAATTTCATGTAAAATAATAGGTAAAGCCTTATCAACTATGTGAATATCTCCTAGAAAAAAAAGATATGGGTTGGGATTTGGTAGGAGTTGAACAAACTGCTAATAGCATAAATCTTTTGAATATGAAATTTAAAAAAAAGACAATACTTGTTTTAGGGTAAGTATCAATAAAATTATCATGTAGAATTCTATGTAACTGATAAAAAAATCTTACAGAAATGAAAAGAGTGGTATACCAGCTAATTTGATACCCCTTTTTGATGTTTGCGTGGAAGTACCTCAAGTTGGCATCATACGTTCATTAAATGTTCATGTTACTGGAGCAATATGTATATGGCAATATGCAAAACAACACATATTTGTTTGATACTCATGATTATAAATTCTTTTTCTTTTTTCTTCTTTCTTTTTTTTTTCTTTTTTTTTTTAAGATTATATATTACTGGAATAGTGTAAGTCTTGCAACAATTATTGTATAAGAACAAAATAAATATTATATAGATAAATAAAATAACAATATAATAAATAAATTTATATTATGTCAAACTTAATAAATAAAATGCATTATTCAGAGTATCTCTTGCATTATCATATATTTATGATGTGGTTCACCATCTATACATAATTATCTAAATATAGGTAAATTAGTTGCAGCTTACACTTTATATCCAACAATATGACGTTTTCCAATACATTCACCTATATAAAACCAACAATATACTTCTATTGCAACTAAAGTATTGAGCCAAGCCTCGCGCACAGTTAATTCTTTATAACGACCAGATTTAGCAGCATTAATAAGATCTGCAATGCCCTTTTTCACTGCAGGTAATTCTGATGGTTTCGGTGGTATTAATTCCACTTTGGCATAAGCTTGAAAAACTTGTAGTTTGGGCTTTGCTTGTTCTATAAGAGCTATAAAAAATAAATAATAATATGAAATATCTGATCTGCAATTAAGTTTCGTCATTTAAAACTAACTATAGTAACTTTTTAATATTTGACTTTTAATGTTTAAGAATATATAACTTAACCTCTTATCATATGTATTTATATGTAAAATATTTAATGTTATTTATTATAATCAAAAATGAAATCGTGCAAAATTATAAGAAGGCAAAAATTACAGAATATATGTATCTATTTAAAATTCACAAAATCTGACAACAATTAGCAGTTACATAATAATTAATGGTCGAGTTATAATGCACCGAATATGTAAGTGTAGGACAAATTCTTTTTAGTAATATAATTATTCCAAAACATTACATACTTTTTGCTAACGTAGTTACTTTCGTTGTTAAATTCGCCATTTTTATTTCTTACAGTCTTCTTCAAAAGTGAAACTCAATAATCTGTAAATTCTTTTCTTGTTCGTTTCCTTCTAAAATCTTCTTCTTCTCTCACATAGCCATGGCGCGTCTGCGCAATTTTAAATCGAAATCTTACCTTCGTAAATGTAATGACCGCTATAAGTTTTTGATCTTTATAGTCGATTTTCATTTATAGAAATGAATAGAGAACTACCCATTGCTTAGAAAATATCAAAATAATCATACGTAATTGGCTAGTTTCAATATTAAATATGATTGGCTGTTAAGCTAATCGAGTTTCTATTGGTTTTTATAATTATCGAATCGAATCGACTATAAATTGAAGATTTGTGTTCAATAACTTCTATATCCTGTAAATATTCGTGTCTATACCTAAAACAAGTAAAAATTGTAAAATCAGATAAATTGAATTGGCGTGCACGTGTAAATCGTTATGCTTTGTATATATTTCATTATATAATTATTGTATAATTAATATCGTTTTAATGTTCTTCGGATTTGTGTCTGTCATCTTTTATTATGATTTGTTCCTACAATTGAATTATTAGATTAATATAAGAGGTATTTTAAAAATAAGGGAATTGCATAAAAAAGTAGTAAAAATGTTAACTCCTCGATTTGAAATAACACAAACCGACTTAGAAGTTACTATTATTGTTCATGCACCGTATGCTAATATTAAAGACGTAGAGATTGACGTTGAAGGAAATGATTTTAGATTTTATGCTACACCTTATTATCTTAGGTAGAATATAAAAATCCGATGTTTTATTTGTTAAAAAAATAACATTTATCTTTTTTTTATTATATATTATTTCTTTTAACAGACTAATGCTACCAGGAGAAATAGAAGAGAATCATGCATCTTCTGGACGCTATGATTGTGAAAAGGGTGATTTTACTTTAAAATTTTCTAAAGTAAACAAAGGTGAATTTTTTCCTAATTTAGATATGATAACTACGCTATTATCACCACCCAAAACAAAAAGTACAATTGTTCCCAATATTGAAGTGATTGGTATGTTATTAAGTAAAGCTAATTTATGGGAAAATATTAAATGTAATGTTAATAAATTTACCTTTCTTCGATGTATAGGTAATCCAGCAAATTCAGAAAAAATATATAAGAATTCGGATGAAGATAATAATGAAGAAAATGATAAAGAAGCATCAAATGAATGGTTCATTCCTCAATCAATACAGTCCAATAATTTAATTCTATCTATAAATTCTCCCAAATATGGATTTGCTAATAAAGTCTCTGGTGCCTTAATAGCTTTTGAGGTATGTTCATATGATTTATATAAAATAATGTATGTATAATGGAACAACATATAATAATATATTTATCAATGATTAATCTGCAGCCAGCATGGATTAAAGAAATAATAGATTTGCCCACGCCTGATAAAATCTCTGAACAAGAACGTACATTTCTTCGTAAAAAAAAGGAATTGGAAGACTTTGACGAACAATATTATATGGCTGATCTTATGCAACCAGAATGTATTGAGCCGTATATGTTTTATGTACCAGAATGGTATAATTTAAGGAAAGAAGATATTACATTTAATAAAGATGAAATTGACTTATTGAAGGAGTTTCCAAATAAAGAATATTTATTAGATGATAAAGAAATTCAATCGTTACTTCTAAGTTTAATTGATATTTTATATGGTAGTTGTTACAATTATAGAACAACATTGGGTGAAAATACTGTTGAAAGTGGATGGACAATTAACAAGCTGAGCTCAACTTTGTGTTGGTTTCAAGTATGTTTTTTTATTTCTTTCTATCCGAAACTATTCTTATTTATAATTCCTTATATAATGTTATAGAATTTTTCTAATATGAATGAAGTTATAAATGCATGTATTAGAAGAGCACTTTGTTATCCTATATTAAGGAACTGGGATTTGGCTATCAAAGTTTTTGAAGACGTTAAGCAAGTCGTAACATTAGGTTTGTTAATATAAACTTAAGTAATATTTTAATCATATTTAATAATATCTTTTGGCCAACAGGAAAAAAGTATATTATAAAACGTTTCTGCGAAATACATAGTTTATGTAATAATTCTTATGAACCACGATATCTGTTGAATCAATTGTATATAAAGGATTATTTAATTTGGTTGCAAAGTATTCCTGAATCTTTGATAGAATCACTTACTCCTATTTTAGATAACGTGAGTTTACTATAAAAACTTTTAACGTTATATTAGATGTAATAGAAAAATTTTATGTAGATTAATAAAAATATTATTTTATTTTTATTAAGATACATCCAAATAAAGAGGATATGCAGTTGGAGTTATTAGAATTAGAAGAAGCGGCATATTCTGTTCAGAAAGAAGGCCTTGTTATAGAAAATGTAATACATGATATAACTGGACATATACAGAATTTAACTATTCATATTGCACAAAGTAACAAGTAAGAGTAATCAAATATCATTATTAGATATAATTAAATAAAAATAACAAAAAAATAGTTGATATTATTATAATATAAAATATATAATGTATTAATTTTTTTTAGATCATCCGACAGTTCAACTTCCACTGATAGTAGTGACACAGATACTGACTCAGAAAGTGATAGTTCTAGCAGTAGTAGTACTACTAGTATCAGTTTAGATTCTGATGATTTAACTGACACAGAATGAATTTTTTCTTTTTTAATATATAGTATGAACGTAATTTTAATGATAAAATACTTCTCTATTTACTATTGTTCTAATATTGTTCAATATAAATTACTAAATTATCTATACATCTCTAAAATATAAGAGATCTCTAATAAAAGAAATCATTGTCTTCTCATACATACTTTTTATTTATTAATAAAAATTCAAAAGAATAAAGGAATGCTTTTTTTATTTCAGTCTTCACATGTGTGCGTGGGTTGTGCAGTGTAACGTTAGGATTAATTGTATCCCGATTCTGATTCTTTAATCCTAGTAATGCATAGGTAATCTTTTTTATAATATATTTCCTAATTAAATTACTAGCTAAAAGTTGAAATAGACAAAAAATGATCTTAAATACATGATGTTTTAAAAAATCGTTATGTTTATATTTAGTATTTATTATTTTCTAAAAAATATTAATTATTATCTTTTATTTCGTTAGCATATGTTTGATATATTAGCAAACTTTTTCATCGAACGAAGAGCGACAAGATGTCGAGACATCAAATGTAGATAGAGGCATTTTTTATATTAAGTGTAGAACAGAGGCTCCGTTGTTCTCGTGTTTTCTAAACTCTGTGATTACTCGACGTTAGCTTGTTGGCGTACTTACATAGTACCAGTTAGCGTTTGAGTTAGACAGTGTTTGTTTTTTATTGCGAACCGTGCTTTTTCCGACTCCTGTATATTTTCATTTATATTTTCTTTTAATTTTATTGCAGAATCTATTTCCAGTGATAGTTTTTGTTAATATAAAAAAAAAAAAAAAAAAAAAAAAAAAAAAAAAAAAAATTAGAGTATATGAATCATAAAAATGTTAATGTCACATTGGAGAATACTTCTATTAATCAATGGAGTTTCTTTTCTATTTGCAAAGTACTCTAACATAAGTGAATTTCGATCAAGCGATACTTTCAAGATTAAGACCGCCGATGGCATCGATTTAATATCAACAATTTGGAACCATGACAAGGAACATAATAATAAAAATCAATATTTAGATAACAATTTCGAAAGTAGTAACAAAATGATCCGACGAAAAGCAGACTTGTTATCGCATCTTTTAAAGATCCACATAAATCGCTTGAGAAACGAGACCGATGAGGTAAAGCCAAATGATTCAAATTTGTCTATTTCGAAGTATACAAACTACTGTCTCATTTTTGCCAGGTAGAACTCGTATTCCTCGTGGATGGATCTGGTTCAATTGGTCTAAATAACTTTCGTAGCGAGCTCAATTTCGTAAAAAAACTTCTATCAGAATTTACGGTAGAACCTTTAACCACCAGAGTTGCAATCGTCACATTTGGAGGAAGAAGAAACATCAATCGTAATGTTGATCAAATATCAAAAACTGGAAGGGACAATCATAAATGTTATTTACTTAACAGGCAACTTAACAACATCAGTTATACCGGTGGTGGAACGTATACGCGTGGTGCGCTTTTTGAAGCTCTCGTTAGTAATTTAAAACTGAAAAACATTTAACAATTAATCATTACCAAGAAAA